TTTTGTATTTTTAGTAGAGACGGGGTTTCACCACATTGGCCAGGCTGGTCTCCAACTTCTGACCTCAGGTGATCTGCCCGCCTCAGCCTCTCAAAGTGCTGGGATTACAAGCATGAGCCACTAAGCTCGGTGTCTGTTCAGATTTTCTAATGTGAAAAAGTTCATTTGGCTCAGGAGTGGTCAAATATCCACTCCTGCTCCAATTATCTAAGGCCTGCATGGAGAGAGTGAGTGGAGGTGTTACATACTGCCCAGGTCCGCCAGACACTTAAGATAGGGAGCTAGAGACACACACACAAATAAAACTACAGTAATTCTGGAGTGTTGACTACTAATCCTCTGATATACAAAGGGAGTCATTAAAGCATGTCTCTCTCTGCCCATCATCTACATCCTCCCCCCACAGCCCCACCTCCCCCACATTGCTCAATCTTCCCACTTATTCCCTTCCCCCCTCACTTCACTCAATCTCCCTCCCACCTCTCCCCTCTCTCCCTGAAGATTGATTTCCCATTGAGGTATATTTCTGTTCTATTTTACATTTCTCAATTTACTGAGGCTTTTGCAGCCAGATTAGCCTCCCACAGAGGAAGCAATTTTCCCTCCATCAAAAATTCACAGCTTTACACCACGGGCAGTCCCAGTCCCAGGGCCTGAGATATACTGGAGGTCTTCTCTGCTGATGGGGTTCAGAGTCTCTCCTGTCTCTTGGGGGCTCTTGAGGGTCTATTCCCTGGGTCCCCACATCAGACCACAGGCTAGCATCAGAGGACCCCCAATTGGAAGGCATCTGGGTTGGAACCGGTACTATGACCATTGCTGGTGGAGGGGGTATAGTGGGTATGGCTTAGAAAGCAGACAAAGGGCATGCGTATGAGTATGAGTATGTGAATGAGGCAGGGAGCTGGACAGGAATAGGCTCCAGTGAGGCTGTGGACCCAGGCCCAGCGAAATAAGACACGGCTGTTTGTACTGACCTGAGATCTTCCTCCTCCTTCCCCAAAGGTGTAATTTGTCTGCTCCACAACTCCAAGAGGCTGCCTGAAGCCTCCTCCCAGTCCCTGCAAGGCCTCTGCCAGGGCAGGCCCCGCCTCTGCATACCTCTCCTCTCCTTCTCTAGCAGCACCGGCAGTAGCCACCTCTTTTTCCTGTTCATCTGCTCCTGTCCAAGCCCCTCCAGCAGTGGCCAGGCCTGGAAACACAATAGCCTGGCCCTGACCCTGGGGAGATGACAGCTCCTGCAGAGAAATGGACAGAGCTGAGACACGTTTTGGGGACAGGGCAGGGGTCCGGGTGGGTTGGGGCAGGGCAGGGGCACTGGGCAAGGACCATTCAGGGGATCTTACGGCATGGAAGAGCTTCCATCTCAGCATGTCCCGCTCTCTCTGCACCTCCACAAGGCTGGTCTGGGTCAGCTGCAACTGGAAGGTCGCCTCATTGCATTCCATCTCCTGCTTTTCCTTGAGTTCCGTCAGGTTTGAGGCCAAGACCAGCGCAGCTGATCTGTGCAGTTTGGCTAAGTTTTGCAGCCACTGCACCCTGTGATTTTGTAATTCTGCCTGCCTGTGGGCAAAGCGCATGCCCAAGGCCAGGCTGCCCCAGGTGCAAGCCTCTTTAACCTCGCTGGGCACCTCGCTGTTCTCCAGGATAGTCCTGAGCTTGTCTTCCACCTCCTCCCAGGATAAGGATATATTCTCGAGATAGAACTCGGGGCCTTTTGTGTGTCTGGCCATCTTCTCGTTGATGAATGCCACCACATTGCTGTGCCGGAACCCACTACTGGGGTCCTCAGGTCTCA